CCCTTCCTCCACAAGCGCTGGAGGGAGGCTCTGGTGAGTGAGAGTCCGGCCTGGCCCCGAGTGCAGGCAGGACTCAGTTGGGCAGTAGAGAGAGTAGGGGGGCGGTCCGCAGGGCCAGGCGGCAGCTGTTCTCCCCCCCCCCGAGCAGCGGCACTCTGGAGCAGCTGCGGGGGGAGGAAGCAGCCGATGGCCAAGCTCGGCGGCTGAGGCTCAGGTCCTGCAGGGGAACAAATGGGGCTGGGCTGTCGATGCCTCCGCACCGGGGCTGCCGCGGGATAGCACCACCTGGGCAGCAGCCCAGACGCGACTGGCCAGGGGCTGGGCACAGAGTGCGCGCTGCTGGGTCCCCGCAACAGGCCCGGACTTGGGGGATTCGGGCCCGGGCGCCAGAGCCGCAGCCGCCGAGCTTGGCCATTGGCTGCTTCCTCTGCCCGCGGCAGTGGGAGCTGCAGCAGCAGCTGCTCCTGAGTGCCGCTGCCCACAGGGGGAGAACAGCCGCCGCCTGACCCCACGGGCCGCCCCCCTCCTCTCCCTACCGCCCGACTGAGTCCTGCCTGCAAGGGACCAGGCCGGACTCTCACTCACCCCGGCTCCGTGCTTCCCCTGCGTCTCCGGGGCCTCCCTCCAGCGCTTGTGGAGGAAGGAGGAATGGCGAGCCTGGGGAAGAGGCGGGGATTCGGGGAGGGAGCCAATGGGGGAGGGAAGGGGAGGAGTTGGGGCGGGAGGGGCGGGCACAAGCACTTCCAGGCTCCGGAGCATTTGCTTGTTTGTCCAGTGACCCGACCTAACATTGGTCGGGACGCGGGACAAACAAGGAAATAGCGGGACAGTCCTGATAAAATCGGGACGTCTGGTCACCTACCCCCAGCTCTGCTCCCCTGAGCAACTGCAAGAGCTGATCCAGCTCCGGGAGAAGAGAGCATAGGTGCCGACTCTGTGGGTGCTCTGGGGCTGGAGCACCCACAGAAAAATATGGTGGGTGTTCAGCACCCACCGGCAGCTCCCTGCCCCAGCTTACCTCCACCTCCTCCGTGATCGCGCCGCGCGTCCTGCTTCTCCCCCCCTCCCTCCCAGCGCTTGCGCCTCGAAACAGCTGATTCGTGAGGCAGGGAGGGAGGGGGGAGGAGGGGGAACGCGGTGCACTGGGGAAGAGGTGGGGCTGGGGCAGGGATTTCGGGGAAGGGATCCAATAGGGGCAGGGAGGGGGCGGAGTTAGGGCAGGGACTTTGGGGATGGGGTTGGAAGGGGGTAGGGCTTGGGGCAGGGAAAGGGTGGAGTCGGGGCGGAGGGGCGTGGGCACCCACCGGTGCCAGAGAAAGTTGGCGCCTATGGAAGAGAGGACCCAGTCTCCCAGCCCAAGAGGAGAAAGACAGGGAGTTAGGGAAATAACAGGGAGAGGAGAAGAGTGGATGACACAGAGAGGGAAGAGTGGGGTATTTATTCTTAATTTAAGAATCTTGCTCTGGGGATTGCAGAGGTCTTCCAGGCCAAAGGACCGGGTGAGGCAAGGTCATGCATTAATGACAGTGCAGAATGTGTTCCTGTCCCTAGACTGCATTAATGCACATGCACCAGGGGGCAGAAGTACCACTGCCCTCGATGCTGCCCCATCCCAGCTTGCCTGAGCAACCTTAATAACATTCTTTAGTCTTTTTTTGTTTTGTTTTTTGTAGGTAATACTGATATAAATTCTCTGATATTGCTGCTCTTTACAATGATCTAATCTGGAGATAGCCTCTCCTGTCTTTAGTGCTTTTCTCCAAGAAACAAATGTTACTGCAATAGCCATCAGATATTTTCCCTTATCTCAGTAATTGAATTTTTATATAAAAATCCCTGCCCCCCCCCCGATTTCAGTCCTTTTCTGTTTATTAATATTTTCACAAAACATTTGCACATTTTTCTATCTAAATATCCAGTGTTGATGTAAAATCTCAAATGTTGTCCTTGTAATTGACAAACATTAATGTAACACTGTGCTTTGTCATAAACCCTCCATCTTCAGCCCAACAACCTGGAGAGACAATCAGGATCAGTGCTTTCCACTGAGTCCCCATGTTCCCTGCCTCAGAGCTCTTTCCCCACAGCCAGCTTGACGCACTAAGGCATATCTGGGGCCTACAAAGCTAGCCATCGAGGCAGCAGGCAGCCCAACATTTGTATTTACGGGGCAGCTTCTCCTGTTCTGGGGGTCTGCAGTGGATGGGTTCCAGGGCTGGGGAAATAAAGCACCAAAGAGAGTTCCCAGGAACCCACCAACTCTACTAAGGGCCATTTTTGCTCATTATCCAACACAGACGACTCCGGGAGTTTGAGAAACTAAATTCTACTTTATTAATTAAAACCAGGAAATAAAAGCAAAACTCCCCCCACTGCCTAGGAACCAGCAACAGGCCTGCTTTTTAAAGCTGGTAGAAAAGTGCAGACACTCCCTGAGAGATGCTGAGATCCAGTCATAAAAACCAACGCTCTGAGTGCAGGAAATGCAGAGAGCTCAGGGTAAGGGGAGCCAGCGAACAGGGTGCATTTTACAGCAGCATCCCTGCTGAGGCTTCTATTCCTGTGGGGATGTCTCTGGTGTGTGTGGGGAGCAGGGGGAGAGTGGGGCAGAGAGAGTCAGACTTAGATCTACAAAGGTATTTAGGCTCCTAACCTGCAGATTTAGATCCCTAAATCCCATTTTTCAGCGCCACTGCAATCTACAAAACCCTCACTCTACTGCCGCCCAACTCCATAGGTGCCTAAACTCACTCGACATCTAACTTTTTGCTGTAACAGTTCCCTAGGCACCTGTTTCTGCCTCTGGGCATGTGCACTGCTGCCGCTGCTCTGTGTGTGTCCAGGCACCTCAGCCCCAGAGCGATCCATGAGCTTGGGGGAGACAGGCGTTTGCCTGCAGGGAGCAATCAAGAAGACGCTGTCCCTTTAGCCCAGTGGTTAGAGCACTCACCTAGGAGACAGAGGTTCAAGTCCCCCTTCTAGCTAGTGAGGAGAAGGGATCTGCTACTGCTCAGGTGAGAGCTCTAACCACCAGGCTATGGGATATTCTGATGGGGGGGTGGGGGGTGTCCTCTCCTACTGAAGTTGTTCCACTTTAATTCAATAATGTAATATTAATGAGGCCAAAGAAAACGTGAGAATTGCTCTGCAGTCCAGTGGTGGCAGATCACTGATCAAATCCCTTCTCATCAGGCAGAAAAAGGACTGGAACAGGGGGCCTCCCACAACCCAGGTCAGTACCCTAATCATGGGGCTAAATTTTTTTAAAGAAGGGCCTCCTCCCCCTCCTCCTTGGATGTTCTGGAGCCTTTGCGCATGGAGAAACCACAGGGGCACAGTGGGCTGTCCCCAGTAACCACTGTTAACCAAATATATCCAAACAGGAAAGGCCTGGTTACATACACACAACTGCTCCTCCAAGTGGTTTCTGACTGCTTCTAAGCACAGAACACTGTGAGCACCACTAGAGGGCTCACAAACCATTTAAAGAGATCCCCTACACTATATTCTCCTCCTTCCTTAACAGAAAAGGATATTATAGAAAAGTTACAAATGTATTCTCACTCCTGCTGTTACTCAATATACAACATGCTACAAAATCAGTCTGAGGTGATTTATGATTTCCTCGTCTAGACAACGTTTCACAGGCATCACAACAGCCTCTGGAACAGTGCCTGTGTTTCTGGGGGAGCAACACCTTCCTGCTGTGTAATGTTAGGGTCACTTGTAGTAGAAACTGGGCCGTGAGACTCACTGGTGCTATCACGAGTCAGTGGCTGTGGCTGTATCGTAGGCGGTCTGTTTTCAACAGGCATCACTGGGGTAGGACATCTTGGGGAACATGTGCTAAAAACCTGGTGCTGATATCTTCTCCATGACATGTTTGGTGCCACTTCTACCCAATAAGACAGTGCTCTGGGCAGTGACATCATCACTCCAGGCTTCTATTAATTATCTCTGTAGTCTCTTACTAAGACACTTTCTCACACATGAAAACTGCGTAATTCAGGATGACTTTTTGCACTCAGTTGATCAGACAGTATCTTATAAATGTCCCTCAGCCTTTAACAAGTCCAGTCCGGACATTAAACGATGTCCCATAAGCAATATCACTCACGTCTGATTTGTTGCAGTACTTACTGCATTTCTCTAGGCCAAGGGAAAATTCACAGTCTTGTGTTATAAGTTACCTTTATCCAGAGGCATAGCCCAAATCACTTGCTTGAATGTCTGGATAAACCATTCCAGTAATCCCTGTGTGGTAAGATGGTGAAGAACTGGTGTGATATGTTTGATACTATTTATCTGACATACAATTTAAACTCTTTGGATATGAAATAGCGGTATTGAACTGCTACCATATGAGGAGAAATTAATAAGACTGGGACTTTTCAGCTTGGAAAAGAGACGACTAAGGAGGGATCTGATAGAGGTCTATAAAATCATGGCTGGGGTGGAGAAAGTAAATAAGGAAGTGTTATTTACTCCTTCTCATAACCCAAGAACTAGGGGTCACCAAATGAAATGAATAGGCAGCAGGTTTAAAACAAACAAAAGGAAGTATTTTTTCATACAACGCACAGTCAGCCTCTGGAACTCATTGCCAGAGGATGTTGTGTATGCCAAGACTATAACAGGGTTCAAAGAAGAACTAGATAACTTCATGGAGGATAGGTCCATCAATGGCTATTAGCCAGGATGGGCAGGGATGGTGTCCCTAGCTTCTGTTTGCCAGAAGCTGGGAATGGGCAACAGGGGATGAATCACTTGATGAACAGCATGTTCTGTTCATTCCCCCTGAAGCACCTGGCATTGGCCACTGTGGGAAGACAGGATACTGGGCTAGACGAACCATTGGTCTGACCCAGTATGGCTGTTCTTAAGTGCAGTCACTGTCTATTTCACTCTATTCCTGGATTAGGATCCCATCCTTTCAACAACTGTTGTGTCTTTTGCTCTTTATGTAACATACATAATGTGAAGAAATTACACAAGCACAGTGGAGACCAAATAGCTGTGTTTTGTACATATATTCAACGTGCAAGACCTAGGTACATATCTATACCACTGCTCTGGCCTCAGAGAAGACAGTGAGGGCCAGCAAAGGCCCTCACATACAATTTAAAGGGACACTACCCAATCCCTTTACACTATACTTGGTTTGCACAGGAAGAACAGAGCTGGAGGAGAACCTAAGACCAAGGCAGGAGGAAGAACTCTCAACCCCAGCAGGGAACATTTTTGTGTGGTGGCTCCCATCTGGTGTCTTCAAGACCCTTTTGGGGGTGGTATTTGGTTACATGATGGAGATAGGGCCTAATCCACAGTTTACACAGGGGTGTCTGGGTGTATGCCCACCAGTGTGCAGGGATGGGGCCGAGAATGCAGAGATGCTCTACTAAATCCCCGGCAGGTGGCGAAGCTCTGAGTTTTCACAGGGGTGGCATTGAGTCCAGAGTATATAGGCAGTATCCAGAATTGTAGAGGCTGGCAGAGGGGCTGCAGAGCTAGGCAGAATCCCCACGGGCCAGAGGATTTTGATTGGTCTTGCCTGGTTAAACACGAGATCAACACACATAACACCCAAGATGGCAACTGACGAATGTAAGTTATCTCCTTTGGTCAGCCCTAATAGACTCTAGTGTGGAGTCTCTGATGCGTTACGAGATTTGAGCTGGTGCTAAAACATTTTTCACATTCGCCGCATCTATACGGTTTTTCTCCCGTGTGGATTCTCTGATGTTTAATGAGATTTGACCTTTGGCTGAAGCTCTTGCCGCAACTGGGGCATTTATAAGGTTTTTCTCCTGTATGGATTCTCTGATGCCTAATCAGAGCTGAGCTTTGTGTGTAGCTTCTCCCACAGTCCAGGCATTTATAAGGCCTCTCTCCTGTGTGTAGTCTCTGGTGTCGGATAAGGTCTGAGTTTACACTGAAGCTTTTCCCGCACTCAGGGCATGTATAGGATCGCTCGCCCGTGTGCAGTCTCTGGTGCCTAATGAGGGCGGTGCTCACAGTGAAGCTTTTTGCGCATTCAGGGCACTTGTAGGGTTTTTCTGCCATGTGTGTTCTCCGATGCTTAACCAGGGCTGAGCTCTGGATGTAGCTTTTCCCGCACTCGGGACACTGATAGGGTCGCTCTCCTGTGTGGATCCTCTGGTGTATAGTGAGCTGTGAGCTCACGATGAAGTTTTTCCCGCAGTCAGAGCACATATAAGGTTTCTCCCCCGTGTGGAGTCTCCGGTGCGTGATGAGGTTGGAGCTCACGTTGAAGCTTTCCCCGCAGTCAAAGCATTTGTAGGGCCTCTCCCCGGTGTGGATCCGCCAATGGGTGATAAGGTTGGAGCTCCGTTTGAAGCTCTTCCCGCACTCCGTACACGTGTGTCTTCTCTCCCCCTCGGGGTTTCTCGGCTGGGCTGGGGTTTCCTTGAGGGCCTTGCAACCTCCCACACCATTGTTGGATTTGCCACCTTTCTCTGATGGATGATTTCCCTGCTGCCTCTTTAGCCTGTGCTGAATCCCACAGCCTTCTCCCCGCTCGGGGTCCTGGGAGACATGCCCTTCAGCTCTTCCTGATAATGTCCCAGGGGGTTCCACTTGTTCAGGACAATCCTGCTGAGGATTTCTCCCCTGGTTCTCACTCACCGTCCCATCACGTGCCGGGATAGAGAATCCAGACATGAGTCCTTCCCTGCACTGGGGAAAAAGGAAAGCTCAGAAAGGGAATAGAAAATCGGGGGGGGTCGAGGAAATGAAATACAGTAACCGCTGGGGTGGTTGAGAAAAAAAGGGACCCGATTTAGACACTAAGAAGAGAGGTCAGTGGGGAGCTATTGCCAGATGTCAGTCGGCATTGGTGGAAACCATGAGTGACATCCGCCATGAGGGTATGACACATGCTGGGCATAAGAGATGGTGGGGCAGAACTGGGAGAACTCACGAGGTTTTTGAGCGAATCTCAGCTGATGGTTCCCTACATCCATTTCACTGGTTCCCCACCTGCACAGGTACCTCTCGACATCTCCCTCTCTGCAGAGCCCTGGAGATCTGGGACCCACAGTTCTTCCCCTCTTTTGAACCAGACGATCACGTCAGATTTGGGAAGGAGAAATCCTGCCCAGGGAGTGAAATCAGGCAAGATCAGGATGCATTATATATTCATAGAATATCAGTCACAAAGAACATTCCCTTATTTTAACCAGCCCCCATGCTGTGATAGGGATGTGTGAAATGTGAATATAGGGAAACGTGGTCACTGATCCCCACCCCGATGGAAGAGGCAGATGTCTGTGTGGGGAGATATTGCACCTCAGTAGGAGTTTCTGGAGGACATGCTAACTCAGACCCAGCTCTGATATAAAGTCCCTGCCTGTTTCTAAACCTGCAGAGGCCGGGGCTGACCCCACAGATGGAGCTAGTCCCAGAAAGGGAGGGGAATTGGGGTTCTGTGTGAGAGAGTGAATATAGACAGGAGAAGACGAAGCTTCTGCCCCCGTGTAAATTATGGGGGATGGATATGAAGTAGGATCTCCCTTAGGTTTCTGACTCCCCTGGCCCATGGGAAAAGGTATAGAGCTGAAAGTCTCTCTCTCTCACCAGACTGGGGACTACGGGGCCCAATCCCCTACAGCCTAAGAGACCAGGAAAGGACCTGAGCAGAAGCCAAATTGGGCATATCACAGACCCTACAGCTTCTAACAATCAATACTCCTGGGGGAATTCTGCACCAAAAAAATAAAAATTCTGCACACAATATTTGAAAATTTTGCAAAATTCTGCATATTTTATTTGTCAAAATAACACAGTATAATCATGCCAGTTACAATTATTTTGGTAATTTATTTCAAAATATCTGTCAGAAAGTATGTCTGTAACAATACAGATTTTAAAAAAAAAGATTCTGGTAATTTTTTTTTATTTTATTTTTTTACCAATAGATTCCTTACGAGACATATTAATACAGAACTTAGTGTAATTCATTTACATTGCAATACAGAATTGTATTTTCTGCACCTGTCAGAAGCAGTGCAAAGGCTTAGGGGAGTCAGGGGTAACGGAAGAGCTGAGGGAGAGGGAAGGAGCCTAGGAGTGAACCTGGAGGGTGTTGGGTGTGGGTATGTGGTTTTTCTTTGCAGGGAGGAAGAGGGGAGGGAGAAATGTTACGGTGTTGGGAAGCCTCCTCCATGCATACCCTGGCTGACCCCACGCCTCTCCCATTCAGCCAGGCACATCTGCTCCTGTCCCTGCACCTCTCATCCCTATGGGTCTCTGCAGCTCCTCTTCCCCCATCCCTCAACACTGTCACCCCATTAGCTCCTGAGCCCATGCTCCAGTCTATCCCATTCTGAACCCCAGTCTGTGATCCCCCAGCAGCCCTGTGTGCCCCTCTCTGTCCTGACCTGGCTCCGCAAGCAGGGTGCTGTGATAAACTCCACTCCTGGAAAAATTCTGCAGCATGGGGCACAGAATTTTGTATTTTCCCGCATAAAATACATTTTGCCCAAGAAGTGCTGCAGTTTCATCTTTTGCCCACCAGGGGCCGCTGTGGTGCTGCTGTTCTGGTGCCACAATGGCCTCTGGTGGGTAAAAGGAGGAACTGCAGCACTTCTTAGGCAAAACATTTCTTATGCGGGAAAATACAAAATTATACGAGACAGATGAATTCTGCACATCCGCAGAATGCGCAGAATTCCCCCGGGGGTAAATCAAAAGGACAGAAATCCCCTACCCAGCGAGGTCACCATCTCGTAATTCTCCTGCATGACGTCCCTGTAGAGGGCACTCTGACTGGGGTCCAGCAGAGCCCACTGCCCCTCGGTGAAATACACAGCCACCTCCCCTAGGGTCACTGGCACCTGAAACAGCCACAGTCACCCACTCAGTACCTGCTGCCCCAGCCACAATCCCACTATTCACAGGGGAGGAGGCCAATAAAATGGAAGCTATGGGAGAGCCAAAGCAGCCAGGAGGCTTCAGGGGGTGAGGAGAAAGAGAGAGCTTCTTGTCCTTCCCAGAAGACAAAGGAGGGGAGCGCCATCACATTTAATCACACATCTACTAGCTGATACAGGAGATGGAGGCACCAAGCAGGGGACAGGGACGGAGCCCAGGTGTGAATCCCAATACGTTCCCCATTGCTAGCTGCTGGATGTGAGGGGATAGGGCAGCTCCCCTGGGCCTCACTGCTGGGTGGCCCCTTCATATTTCATAGTAGCCTCTGGCTACTGGGCTCAAGCTTCCACACGGAGAGGCTGGCAAGTTTCCCCATTTCTCTTCAGGGGGTTGTTTACTGTTCCATAAATTGGGGGAATTCTGCCCTCTTCCAACAGGCCTGTTCCTGTAAACCAGGACCCAGATTTAACAAGTCCCAGCAGGTTTCTCACACCCTGTCCCCCTCTCTTTCTCCTCTTGTGTCTCCTTCAGGACAGGTCCCTGAGAAATCCCCTACCTGAATCGGCTTCACTGCAGCCATTCCTCTACCTGGCCCCTCAGGAGAATGGGACAATCTGGAGCGAAACGTGGATGTTATTCTGCAGCCTGTCAGGGCAAGAGGAATGACTGGGGTGATTGCAGAAGGAGTTTTAGTTCATTTCACACCCCAATTCTCAACAGGCTCTTTCCTTGCAGAGAGACTCTGCCTGGCTGGGAAATCATTTGGTCACTTTGTAACAGCCCAGACCCAGACTCTCCCAAAGACATTTTTAAACCCTCCACATAGCAAAGGGAAATTTCACTGCCCCAAAAAACTTTGTTAACACAGAGGTAAGGTGACTGACCCACCTCGTGTCCTTCCAGACCATTGAATCAACTCTGTGTAAACCTCTGAAAACCAGGAATTAAAGAGTTCCAGTACACACTAGCCCTGGCAGTGTTTTCGTACTGGGGATGTTTACCCATCCCTGTGGAACTCTATGGGAACCCCATGGCTTATCACTAGGGCCCTACCAAATTCACGGCCATGAAAAACACATCATGGATCATGATATCTGGTGAAAATCCCGTGAAATCTGGTCTTTTGTGCGCTTTTTACCCAGATTTCACGGGGGGGGGGA